GAGCGACTTCCCCTCTCCACATAAGTGACCGTTGCAACGACTTAAACTGCCAAACTGGCCCTAAATCTTGAATCTGGCACATCTTTGCTGACCACAACACAGAGCGACCCACATGCTCTCTAGTAATATTTAGAAATAAATTGATTCATAATTTTGCACGTTGATTTCGATGAGGGTCACTGATTCAACCATCGAGGGCTGCCAAGATATTTCTGCATGAATTATCACTCGGACGTCACGCTTAATTCCTCCAAGCTAAAAAATGTGGGAAACCACACGGAACACTGAACTTTCGACCTGTAATTTGTTTCTGTAGATATAGCGTCGATAGAGGTACGGGAAGTAGACGAAAAATTAGCATTTTTCACGATTAGTTTCGAAAGGGGAAACAGTAAGGATTGATTGGGGACTTTGGCTTTTCGCTATCTTCTAGCTCTTCATCACCTTCTGGCTTTAGGTGAGGGCGTGAGGGGTTGGTGTGGTTTCATCTTCTCCGATCCGCGGCTCACCTTTTGACGCGCCCACTTGTATCTACTACGAGGCCTTGGGTCGCATGTCGGTTTAAATGTCGTTGCCCCATGCCTGGCAACCTCTTCTTCCCTCGCAGGTTCGTCACGTATGGGCTCTTACCATTGCGTAGGTGAGTGAGATCTCGAGAGTCATCTTCACTTACCTCTTAAGCAAGAAACTCCAGATCCCTTGGTCGAGGAAGAAGGTCTGGTTGACAGCTATGACTTTAGAAAGGGCTCCCCGAGGGCTGATCCTCTCTCTTCTTTTCTTATGGCTGATGACCTTTTGGTGGGAGCTGCGGGGGGACTACGTAGATGTGCTTCTCAAGGGAGTGGTCAAGCTCTTATGAAGCAAGGTGTGGTGGATAAGGTATAGTTGCTTCTACGTGCGTAAGATAAAAACAAGACGTTTAGGATGCGGTGAAGGGAACATCAACGTTAAGTGGTAAACTAAATGTATGTGGATTGATTACCGCTGTAGTATAAGTACTGCACGTACATTTATAGTAATAGAGCGGTGTACTTATGTAGGTACATGTATTGAGTTGGCTGCGTATGTGAGACATCACGATGTGTTTGTCTAGTCTATGTTTCAGTGTGTAGAAGGGAGGCAAGATGGGTCTAACACATACAGTGTTACATCTTGGATGGGGTGCTGCACCCCTGGGGATCAGAAGGGGAACATCAGCAACAGGAAAGGGGAAGAGCCTACGTACACGATGTAAACCTAACCCACCAGCAGCGTACGACGAGAAGAGCCTACATGTACGTACGCAGTCTAAGCCTAACCTTTTACATAGGTGCCAAGATTGCGACGTCGGCGCAAAAAAAGCTATATAAGGCTTGCTTCCCCCACTCCCATCTTTCCTCTCCAGAGCACACGTTAGCCTACCTAGCCTGTCTAGTTGGGGTCTCACTCTTCCTCCGGGAATTGGGGGTCCCTTTCTAGGTGGTGCAGCCCAAGGTTCTGAAAGGTGTGTGCTCTGTGCAAAAAAAGCGTGGTCCCTTTACCTGGGGGGCCCCTTTTTTTGGGGAGTGCTTGCGCTTCTTTTTCATTGTTTTCCTGGCTGCTGCGAGGGGACGATGAAAAAGTTTGGTTCCTTTTGGCTTTGTGGGGTTTTTTTTTTTTTTTTGGCTTTTCTGGTTCCTGTTGGCTCTTTTTTGTGTTCCTTTTGGCTCTTTTCTTTGTTCCTTTTGGCTCTCTTTTTTGTTCCTTTGGCTCCGTTTTCTCGTTCTCTTCCTGGCTGTTGCGAGGGGATGACGAAAAAAACCATTTGTTCCGTTTGACTCTCTTCGGTTCCTATTGGCTTTTGGCTTTTTGGCTCTTTGGCTCTCTTCGGCACTCGTTGGCTCTCAGCGGCCGCATTCTCGCATCTCTTTACGCCCTTCTCTCCCTCTTTTTGTAAGCATATAAGTTTCGTCCCCTTCCCCCTGGCCTCTAAGTTTTTAGATATCATCAATGTATATAGCTCCCCGTAGTTCCCCCTAGAAATAAAATTGTGCTCTTCATGATACCGTGTGAAACCAACCAAAACCCTCGAGTCCTCTCTCGCCCATTGTAGACTCATAATCCCAAGATCTGACTGTTTGCAGCAATTAGATCTCTCCCCATGGGCCCAGTCACGCATCGTGCTACGAGCGATGTGGGTACATGTGCTACGATCCCGCCCCTCTCTCTGCTCTTTTCCGCAAGCGAGTTCCGTCTCTTTTGGCTCCCGTAGATATATAATTGTGCTCTTCGTGACCCCGTGTGAAAGTCCAAACAAAATCCTGAGTCTTCCACCCCCGTAGGCAATTAGATTTCTCCCCAGGCACGTGTCGGAACTGCGAGTGATATGTCATGATCCAGATCATCCTAAAACCAAGACCGAGCCAAGCCGAGGATAGAAGATATGGTGGAGTTGCACCCCTTTGGTTTAGTGAATAGGATGTATATAGATGTAGTTGTGCCTATCTTGTAGATAAATTCACCCTACTCCTTGATCCTACCGTGAGATTTAAACTTTGCTGTAAAAGATATATTCATGAATTATCACTCGAAGCGCGATCGTCCTCGTAAACTATGGTCTGGCCACACAGCTTGAACCGGAGCCAATTTCCGGTATAGAACCTCGTATGTGATGGATAGTACACCATGACCACCTCAATTACAAGCAGGCTATGGATTGGTCTCAAGATATAAAAGACAAGACCGATATAATTTACAGGGCCGAATAAACTTTCCAAACACAAAACTTTAGCCACATAAATATACTATATCTCATCTAGGGCCCTCATACTCCCAGCAGCGTAGCAGTAGCACCTCCGTCCATAGATCCAATCTAGTTGCAACCGTGAAGATCCTGATTTAGGAAGTTGGAGGTTTGATTCCTCCCTAGGACGTTATTACAAATTGCAAAGTATACCCGGATACTGTGTAAAGCAAATACTGAAGTAGGAATATCCTTGTCTAGCTATAGGGGTGATATGCACCTAAGTTCTTAAAGGGTCGGCTTTTGGCTATATCTGTTGGCCCTTTATACCGCACCTTGAACGTTTCTCCCTCCAATTTGGCTTTTGCCATCCCAGACAGGCACTTCTGCGTTAGGATGAAGACGGGAAAGAGGTTTTGCTCATTGATCCTAACCCATGGTCCGTCGAGACATGCTTACCCTTCTTCGCTCCCCTTCTAGTTGTGAGTCTCTGTCCGTACCTGGGCTTGTTCATCATTCTAGAAGCCGTGCTATGGGGCGAAACATACGTTTTCACACTGCTCTGACTCGTTCTCATTGCGGTTTCCCGCAGGGGCGCTCTGATCGACACCAGTCCAGTGGGTGAAGTAGAAGTCCGATGGAGCGGACCAGCTAACTTATCTCCACTGCGGAAAGTAGAGTACTATTAGTGGGGAGTTTCGTTATCAAAGAGTTAACGCTACGACTTTACGCTGATAGTATAAAGACATCAGGCAAAGTCAGTAAGTAATAAGGGTCGATTCCCAGCCCCACCACTCACCCCTAGCTTCCTCCTCTGGAGAAAATCAAAAACCAAAATAGCCTCCTACTTTATCTCACTACACAAAGAAAAAATAAAGGTAAAAAGAACAAAAGATACTGCAACGATTTATTGATGAGTGTACGTTACTATCCCCACCCCTGGTTTGAACTCAAGACCTTGTCCAAACACTCGGTGTCTAACCCGACGAGCAGTCTAGCCATTAACCACTAGACCACCCGCCCATGGTGGACACTGCGCCTGTAGTGGTACTTAAGCTAGCTTGGCGGTGTGCCAAGATGAACCAGAATCAGCCCCTAACCCTTCGATGTCTGCTCATGAGCCATCCATAATATTCGTTTTGCCACGGCTCCGCCGACGAACGACGAGAAGCCGTCCAAGCACCTATCTCAATCCAAAAGCGCCCCGCTTCTTCTCCTCAAGTCGAACCCAGTAAAATAAACAGTCTACATATGTAGCTGAGCCTTGCCTGGAATGTGATATTTCAAAGCTGCGCGGTAGCCAAATATGCGGCCCTTATCACTTGCTTCTTTAATTTACTTCTTGCCTACCTTTGGGTTTTTGAATACTTTTTTGCTCCCATTATCAATAGACCTGTGATATCCAGCTCTGCTTTCGGCATTGACTTACACCCACAAAGAGGCGCCCCAACGAAACCCCCTAGTAAGCCCCCCATGCAAGTCCGAATTCTAAAGCCCTGTATTTATACTCCGCAGAAACACAGAAACGCAACCCAAGTGAATTCAAGACGCAGCCTACTCAGACATTCACCCCCTTCACCCCGCCAACAAATCAGAAGACACCACTAAAACACAGCGCGCCCTCAACCCGCTATCCTCGTCGTCGACGCCCTCCCAGGAACACCCACGCAGTATCCGTTTTCTTCATCTTCTCTAGCTTCCACCTCTACCTCATGACTAGCAAACACCACCGATACCACCACCAGGCGTAGCAGACACCTATCGTTACCAGACTACAGCGGATGAAGAGTCTGTTATCCGTCGACTCTGAGCACCATTACCTCTGTCTATCGAGGGATTATGCTTCTTCGTGTTCGGTGTACCTGCTGTGGTGCTATGGTCTGTTTTTCTGCGTCTAGAGGTACCGATCGGATAGATGAATATATATTAGGTCTACTAGGTCCCAGAGGTTTTAGTGTCGATCTCGACCTGAAGAGGTGTGGGCGCGCTGGATTTCGATGGTATTGTTCGGTCATGGATTATCACTCGCCGCATGTTGGGACTCGGGTTGGGGTGTTTGGTGAACTGTGTTTGGGTTCCAGGAATGTCAGCGCTTTACAACGCCGGGGAGCGGTTGAAAATATACTTAGCTAAATAGCTTTGATATCAATGGGTCAATAACTAACAGCTAGCTAGCTAGACCTCCGTCTCTGTTACTCAATCCAGGCACTTCACGATCTCACCCATTCCCGAAAACTCAAATATTTGAAAAGCAACAACTTTTAATTACTAATTAATTTCTATTTTAAATTTTCATTAATTAATCCAGCCCCTTGAAGGAGCTGGCGACCGGCTGCCTGCCCACACTCCTGGCCTTCCCCTTGCCGCCCTTCCTCTTCTTATTCTTCCTCTTCCTCGCCACCCTTTCCTCGTCGCTGCTGTCCTCCTCTTCGTCCTCATCGCTGTCGTCGCTATCGCTCCCCGCCCTCTTCTTCGAGCCCTCTTCATCCTCCACGGCGTCCTCCCACTGCCACACCTTGACAATGTTGCCCCCCCCGGAGACCATCCTACCCTCGCAGTCGACTCCCAGCGCCAACACGCCCTCCTCCACCCGCTCCTCGCCCGTCCCCTCCCCCTCCCGCACCTCCTCCACCGTCCACGAGTGCGCCAACGTCGCCACAACACTATTACTCCCCATCTTCACAACCTTCACCTTTCCATCGCCGGCCCCAAACGCCACAAAGCGCCCCCACCCGGCGGAGCTCCCCAGCTGCCACCCCTCCGGCAGCACACACACCGCATCGACACTGTCGCCCGACGCCTTCGCCACATTGATGCGATTGTCATGGTCCGCCCACTCGCCCTGGTTCCACAGCGTCGCAACGCCGCTCGCCATCCCGGTAATGACCTTCTCCCCGCCGCGCCCGTTCTTGCGCGGCAGGCCAGAGATGAAGGCGGAGCACAGCAGCTCGTCCTCCTGGTCCTCGGAGGTGAAAAGCGTGGCGGCCGTCTTGCGCACGTCGAGATGCGTCAGTGTCGTTGCGCCGGTGGAGACGAACTGGCGCGAGAAGCCGGTTGTGGATGCGGCGGTGGAGGGCAAAGCGGTGAGCGAGGAGACGTAGTCCTCGTGGACGGCTTTCCAGGTTGCGGAGGGGGGCGCGAGCGCGGGGGTGCGCGTGTCGTAGAGGTGGATGGCGCCGGTGTCGGTGCCGACGAGGAGGTGCTGCGGTGATAGGACGAGGAGCGCGGTGGGGGCGTCGGGTGCGCCGCTGCGGGGGGTGGGGATGAATGATTTTCCTACTACGCGGCCGGTCTCGGAGGAGGCGGCTTTGAGGAGGGAGTCGGTGCCGATTGAGTAGAGCGCTGCAACAATTTGTCAGTCGGGGGTTTCTTCCGGGGCAGTTGCCGGGGGAGTGGTACTGTCGCCGTCGCCGCTGAAGGCTACTTGTCTGCAGCTTCCTTTGTGTCTGCGGGTCTTCCAGGCGAGTTCGAATCCGCCATCTGCGGCTTTGGACTCGTGGGCGACAGAGTCTTCGTCATCTCCAGAGTCGGCGTCCGAGTCGTCGGCGTCTTCTTCGTCCTCGGGCCATTTGTATGTGTAGACATGGCCGGAGGAGAGACCGGTAGCCAGTAAGGGCTTGCTCGGGTGGAGAGCGAGCGAGAAGACGTCTGCGGGGAGATTGATTGAGTGGGCTTTGTACGGCATAGCTATTGTTTTGTGAAGTCCAAATGTATCTAACAATAATATTTGGATATTAGCAATATGCAGATATAAAAAAAGTAGAGGTTGTGGTTACCCTGCGAGGAACATGCATGCAAACCAGCCAACCCTCACCACAGCCAAACACCCCACCTTCGCCCCACCAACCGTTCTCTCTAAGACAGACAGACACCCGCAGCAGCAATGACAACCCCCCCACCAACAACTACCGCTGCACCAGCCCTCTACACGCCCGACGACCACCTCTTCACCGACCCCGCGAGCACCGCCAAAGAGCAGAACAACTACTCAAACCTCCCGGAAGATGAGTTTACGCAGGTCTACGAGATCAACTCCACGGTGAAGCAGATCCTCGAGAAGGGCTATCGCCGCATCGCTCTCCAATTCCCAGACGAGCTTTTGGGAGATAGCACAAGGGTCTACGAGCTAGTCTCCAAGGGAATCAACGAGGGCGTAGCAGACCCCCGGAAGAGCACGGAGGTCAAGGCCGCCGCCCCGGAAGAGCAGAACGGATACTGCGGCCAGAAGTCTGATGGCTGTTGTGGCAGCTCCGAAAGCGCCTGCGCTCCTAAAGACTCGCAGAGTGGCTGCTGTAAGAATAATGGGAACACCCCCGACGGCACCTCCGGAGAGAGAAAGAAAGTGTTTATCCTCGCCGACACGTCCTACTCGGCCTGCTGCATCGACGAGGTCGCCGCCGAGCACTGTTCCGCCGACGTTGTGGTTCACTATGGCCGCTCCTGCCTCTCGCCCACAACCCGTCTCCCCGTCATCTACGTCTTCACCACGTGCCCGCTTGCCCTCCCGCAAGTGGTGTCCAGCTTCACCGCCACCTTCCCCGACCGCGCCTCGCCCGTGATCCTCATGGCCGACGTCACCTACACCGCGCACATCCCCGCGCTGCACACCGCGCTCCTGGCAGAAGGCTACACGCACCTCTTCGCCACAGACATCGTCCACGACCCGTCCTCCCCGCTGCCAAACCGAACGCACCCCCCACCGGAGCAGATGCGCGAGTCCACACTCTTCCACATCGCCGAGCCCCTCCCCTCGCTCCTCCTCGTCCTCGCATCCCGCGTCGCAGAGATCCACACATACACTCCTGGCACCTCCGCCGCCACCACTCCAACCTCCACCGCACTGCTGCTCCGCCGCCGCTACGCCCTCCTCTCACACGCCCGCACGGCAAACATAATAGGCGTCCTAATCAACACCCTCAACGTGCGCAACTACCTCCCCATGATCACGCACACAAAAGCCGCCATCACCGCCGCCGGCCGCAAGCCCTACCTCGTCGTCGTCGGCAAGGTCAACGTCGCAAAGATCGCAAACTTCGACGAGATCCAGGTCTGGGTCGGCATCGGCTGCTGGGAACAAGGCATCGTGGGGAGCGCGGCAGGACGCGAGTTCTATCGCCCGGTCGTCACGCCGTTTGAGCTCGGCATCGCACTCGATCGAAGCCGCGTGTGGGGGAGCGAGTGGATCGTGGACTTTGAGACGCTCCTGAACGCTCCTGTGAAGCCGGAAAATGAGGAGGGGGAGGAGGAGGAGAGTGATGAGGATGATGAGGCGCCTGAGTTCGACTTGAGGACGGGCAGATATGTGGCTGCTGCTCGTGCGCCACGGAAGCGGAAGGAGAAGGCTCCTGGGGAGCCGCGGTCGGGAGCGCTCATTCTTAATGATGACAGTAGGAAGCAGGTACTCGCTGGCGGCGTCGTGTCGCCCGCAGCCGAGTTTTTGAGGGATAAGAGGTCGTGGAGAGGCCTTGGGTCGGACTTTGTCGTTGAGTATGAGAAGGAGGGCGCGAAAGAGGGCCAGGAGGAGAAGAAGGGTGCCATTGTTGAGGTTGGCAGAAGCGGTGTAGCCAGGGGGTATACGGTTGATGGTGGGGAGAGACACTGACGTTGAGGTGTGGAGATGGGACTGGTTGGGCTTTTGTTTGTACTTTTGTTTTGGTTGTGGGCGTTTGCGGTAAAAGTTTTCTTTGGGAAAAGTCCCTTTTTTGGTTTTGTTTCTCTTGTTTGTAGATAGTGTAGATAGAAACCTAGTTAGAGAATACCAATGTGAGTAGACGGGTTTGGGGCTGCGTTTTTTTTTTTTTTTATCGTGCAGTGAATATCGAACTATGATTGTGAATCGATAGATAGCAATAACTTCCCTCTCCATGGATTGACTAGCTACAAAGGCGGTTCTTATAAATGATATTCTGGGTGGTATTCTCCATCATCTGGATATTTCCACCGCCTTCTTCCGCGCGAGTGATATCCCATGACCCAGGAGTAACTCAATAATGCGGGCCTATGTAGAACAACAGCATCATGGCCTAATTACGGAAAGAAAAGAACAAACCTCAACAACATATTGCCTTCATATATCCCATAAAACCACTGAATTCCACATTGGCAAAACGAAACTCGAGCCTTCCCAGAATGAACAGGAGAGCTGGAAGCTTCACAGATGGATGGACTTAATGCGGTCTTATGTTACTGCGCCTGTGTTGCCGGGCTGGATGGATGAGGTGTTGGGGAGAAGTATTATAGATGATGGGTATGTTAAGAGGTGCAGAGGGAACCTCGTTAAATAATCTATCCGGATTTTCTTAGCGTCATCTTGATACCACGTATCTGCCACACACCCTTAACCTCTACTGGACACATAATTGTAACCTCTAATGGCTCCCCGCACTGGAGTGCTGGGCTCTTACGGGTTTGATTTGTGGGAGGAAATGGGCCCGGAGAGTATATTTTAGTTATAGGGCCGGCATAGAGAAACTTAGATACGGCACCCGGCTTGATGTAGTGTGGCTTTTAGTTTGTAGGTTTAACTGAGCCCCCACCGAGGACAGCATGTTTGTTTTTAATTGAGGGGCCATGCTACATGTAGTAATAGAATACCACCAGATTGGTTATATGCTATTCACGTCCTGTTTGTATATCTATAGCATACTGCATACAGAGAGTTAGCGGGCAGGAAGGAGATGGCGTTTCTTTATAGATTGTCACTCGAGCGAGTTGCATTCATGATGGATTGATCTATTCGTCATTACATGCAGCTTTCCAAGTCGCACACATGATCAGTCATCTAGGAAAAAAACATAAACCACTGGGAACCGGCCAGTAAAAATAGAAATACTCCCTAAAGAACCAAGATGACAAACATCTATACCGCATGCGCATCTTCCTTCTCTGCTCCCGCCGCAACCTCGAAGAACGCGAGGTTGTCCCTGAACGCTACATACTCCGAATCTACACATCGTTAATACGTCTTAACGAAAAAGAACTGGATAAAGTAAACCTTACCTGCATAGCCCAGCAGCTCCTGGATCTTCCCGCTCCTCTCGCCCTTGATCCTCGCAATCTCGGCGCTGGAATAGTTAACGAGCGCTCTTCCCACCTCCTTCCCAAGCACTTCATAACCACCTTCCTCTCCTGCTCGCCTCTTGACCACAACGACCGACACTGCGTCTTGCTGCGCGAAATGGCCAGACACATCCACGACGCCCACAGGAAGCAACCCAGCCTTGTCCGATCTCGTGAGAGCGCGGTGCGCACCTTCATCGATGTAAATCGTGCCGTGGGGGGCCAAGCCGTGGAGGATCCAGAAGTATCTATCACGCAGAGCGCGCGGCTTGGGTAGGAAGCGGGTATGAAGCGGCGGCGGGGTAGTAGTCGCTGGTGGTGCAGGAGTGGTGGACCGCAGAGGTGTGACAGGTGCAGAGGCAGAAACAGTCAAAGGGGGATTAATGGAGGTGTCGGGGGTGCCAGGGCGGGTATTGGTAGCAGACTCGGTCTTGAGCGACTGGATGTAGCGCACAATGTGGAAGATGTTTGAGGGGGTGGAGGAGCGCGTGATAATTGTTGTTACGCCGGCGGAGGTGGCAAGGCGAGCGGCAGTGAGCTTGGTAGACATGCCGCCGGTGCCGAGAGAAGAACCAGCGGTAGAAACTGCAAAAGTTGTTAGTAGGGGTTGTTAAGGCAAGGGAAGGGATTGTACCATCAACATTAAGTGACGATATGTCGTCGACCACTTCGATTGGTTTGGCATCGGGGTGGGTACGTGGGTTGTTGGTGTAGAGGCAGTCGACGTCCGTCATAAGGAATAAGTAGTCTGCGTTTACCATTCCCGCAGTGATGGCTGAGAGGGTATCGTTATCACCAAATTTGATTTCCTGTGTTTTGGCCTCATATCAATCCCAATTCTTACGGTTTTGGTGAATGCGAGGCTAGTACGTTTACAGAAAGAGTGTCGTTCTCGTTCACGATGGGAATAATCCCCATGTTGAGCAGCTCGGACAATGTATTCACGGCATTGAGGTATTGTGTTCTCTACCCCACGGTCAGTAAACATCACAGCGGTAAAACTTCGCCAACATACATCCGCGATATCGTTCCTGGTCAGGAGAATCTGCGCAACGGGTTGTCGCAGCTGCTTGAACAGCTCATCCCACAGCGCAATAAGCCTGCACTGACCCACTGCCGCGATTGCCTACTCCCACCCAAATTAGCACTTCCTCCCTCCCTATAAACATAAATCCCTCAAAGCGACTAACCTGCACAACCGCGAGATGTTTCGGTCTCTTCTCAATATCCAGTCTTCTCATTCCGATACCAATTGCGCCAGAGCTAACAAGAATCACTCGGTGTCCCTCTCGCCGGAGCCGGCATGATGTCTCGACGAGTAGGGAGAGATTGGATAGTAAAGGTTCGTGGGTTTTCTCATCGCAGATTGACGATGTTCCTAGTAGTGGTCAGTTACTTGTAACATTTAGCAATAGCACCTAGGCGTTCAGTAAAGGGTTGTGAAATCCGCGCAACGGGGCCGAACAAAAATTAGACTTAATGCGAACCCGACCACAACTCAAAGCGGTACCAAAGATATTACAATGGTATCGATCGGGTTTACAGTCCTGGGGACCAGCTTATTGTGCTTTGTGTTTTGGGGTTTAAGTGGTGAATCGAATTCTGTTCTTCGTCGGGTTGCGCTGGCTTCACAACCTATTTACTGAAAGCCTAAGTAGTTTAGTAACCGCAATAGTAGAAGGGGAACAAACCAAGCTTTATGACAATTGTCAGGGGACGTGGGCCCTTCATATTTGACTGCGAATTCGAGGACTCGCGGAGTTTACTGATGTGTTCGTTTGCTAGAGTCATTGTGTTGCAGGGGATGGTAATTAGTGGAGTCGGGGCATGCAAGGATAAAGAAATGTCCATACCATGGAGGGGTTGGTGGGGTGAATCGAATAAACGTCCGGGTAACGTTGCACTGGTGAGGGTGGGATTTCTAAAGCTAGAATGAATTCGAGGCTGGCAGTACGTCTCACAACAACGAAACAAAAAGTAACAAAAACATATTTCTCAAAAGCTTAGGGTGATTGGTAAACGAGCTATATAGTCATTGATGTGAAAGAAACGTAAGTCAAACTACATGTAATGCATGAAGATCGTACGTATAACCAACTATAATTTATTTTTTTATTGGGGATTCTGCATGAGTACGTACACTAGCTATTACGCTTGAAAACTCTTTAAATCAGCACTACTAACGTGAGTTAAAGTATCTATATAGTTATCATGTCTCTAAAACATTCTGGCCAATTCTACTTAACTGTCATGAGCTCTAATTCGAGACTAAGCTGACAATAGACGATACTACTAATCTGTGAATGTCATATTAGAGCTCTAGAGTCTGATTCGCCGACCGAACTATGTAACTCAATATTATCCCATAGACCGTCAGGCCGAATTGTAATTAGAGGCATCTAACGCAAAGTGGAAATCGTGATATGGTAAACGCAAGATTTATATGTATATCTGTGTTACAACGTATAATTCATCACACACAAACTCCGTGATGGTTTCTGTCGTTGCTAATCTTGTAGGCGTGCCTTATATCACGATTTCCACTCTGCGTTAGATACCTCTAATTACAATTCGGCCTGACGGTCTATGGGATAGAGTCTGGTTCGGAAGAAGTCGCAGTTTGGTTAATCAAATCCAGTCAGAATTGAATCTTTAGATTCGATCTTGACCTGTGTTACACAATAGCACTCGCAGCCTTGATGCGACAATACCTTGACCGAGTCGCCTTTTAAAGCCTAAAAGCCCTCTGTTTATCATCTCCTAATACCTAGATGTAGCCATAGAGGGTTAGGGTTTTCCAATTTACCTCTTTTTTCAGGTTCTGTGTACTGATTGAGCAGATTCTCTTTAAGCCTGGGTATAGACCCTCCGCGAGTTATATTTAATACCCATTCTGAGCAAAACCCATCTGATCATACCACATTTTCAAACCACAGAGTGATACTCTATGATTCCGAGTGATATCGTATGATCTCCGGGTAAGTGCTCACTCTTCACACCCCCGAACCCCCACGCTCCAGTACCAGCACGCCGCAAGAAAATGTCGACCCCTCAAACACCCAGCGCGCCCATTCGCGGCCCCGAGTTCTGGCGCCGCACCTTCTGCTATGTGACCGGTCTCGGCCTGTCACCCGAGGACCGCGCAGCCTACGAGGCCGACAATGAGCTCCGCAAAGAGCAGGATGAGTGCCGGAGGTGTGAGAGGAATCGGGATTACCTCCTTCGATACAGTATGCGCCACCGGTATGGATCGGTCGAGGCGGGAGCGTGCTAACTAGGATGTGGAATAGGTCCAATTGTGAGGTTCATGCTGAAGAGCGTACAGCAGGTGGGCGGCGACTTGTCGGCGGAAAATATCAAGTGTCTTCCGTGCGATGGGGCGCTGCGTACAGGTGGGTTCTCACCGCAGTATGGGATTATGCTGTGCCAGAATAAACTGGACAGAGGGAGAATGGAGGATACGCTGGCGCACGAGATGGTGCATGCGTATGATCATCTCAGGTTTGATGTCAATTGGGATGATTTAAAGCATCATGCTTGCTCAGAGGTGTGTCCAATACGTAGGGCGTGCTAGCGTAGCGAAGATTGTAGTTGTGGCTGACCGTAAGGATAGATTAGGGCATCAAGCTTGAGTGGTGAGTGTAGATGGACTAGAGAGGCGTTTACAAGAGGAGTATGGGATTTTACACAGCAACATCAGGCTTGTGTGAGAAGGAGAGCTACGATATCGGTCTCCCTTCATCCAAAATGTAAGGATGATGCAGAGGCGGCCAAGATTGTCAACATGGTATTTGACTCATGCTTCGCCGACACCAGACCATTTTCGGATATCTATCGATAGAAGTATCTCGAATAATCCCGTATAAAGCACAACACTTGTATAATGTCTGTCGATACCTTGTAATTATAGCAATAGAAATATCATACTCCCTGCTCTCATCTGTGGAACAAATGCAATAAACAAAAAAACAAAAATAAAGAAGGGAGAAAGAAAATTAAAGTCCAGCCAAAACACCAAACCGCGCCGAAAAAAAAAAAAAAAGAATACTCTCAACAGATACATTTATAAGTGTAAAACGAAAGAAGCCCGTGGTCCCTAAAAAAACAGAAACGCCCTTAAAATGTATCCTAACTTTCTGATGTGTTTCTCCCTCTTGCAATTGGTCAAGTTATGGAGGTTCAGTGAGAACAAATAAAGGCATTTCAAAGAAACAATTCGACAGGGGATTAATTTTTGGCCGAAGCTCCCGAATTGTTGCTGCTACCTGAACGTTTTGTAAATTGAGGTTTGTTGATGCAGTGTTTGAGAATCCAAGGGTGCTTTACGACTTCTTCGAGTGGTATCCTCTGGTCAGGTTTGATGACGAGAAGCTAGAAAGGTTAGTGTCATCTTCATAAGGGTCAATGATTTTTTTGAGTATACTTTTTTGATAAGATCTCCGGCCTCGGGGCTGACAAAATCTGGGATTTTCATATCTGCCCTGACAATCCTCCTTTGAGTCTCAATAGGACTATCCTCAAATGGCGCAGCTCCTACAAGGAACTCATAGGTTAACACGCCCAGGGACCAGAGATCCACTTTTTCGTTGTGGTAGTGACTGCCATTCAACATCTCTGGAGGAAGATAGTCGAGAGTTCCGCACATGGTTGTTCGCCTGTTAATTCCCAAGTTAGTTTACGTACAAAAGCTATCGATCTTGAAAGACTGACCTTTGGTTTGGGGCATGCACACTCCAACCAAAATCCGAGATTTTTATTTCGCCATGAATTCCGACGAGGATATTCTCAGGCTTAATATCGCGATGAATAACGTGTTTCTTGTGTAAATACATCAATGCGGCAGCCATTTGTGCAATATACTAAATGAAACATCTTATTAATTCACAGCTCAAATATGATGCGATTGCGCAAGAACTATAGGAAGAGCATACCTCTGCAGCGCGTGGCTCCGGGAACCTGCCCACCTTCCTTAACATCTTATACAGCTCTCCTTGGCCGGCAAACTCCAGGATTAGAAATACTCGCTTTGAGTCGTGAAAGTGACCGAAGAGCCTTAGAATATTAGGATGTCTTAGATTTGACTGGATCTCAATCTCTCTCCTGAGTTGTTTTTCGACTTTTCCACTCTGTAGTTCACTTTTGTGGAGAACCTTCAAAGCACAAACAAAGCCGTTCTTGCGTTCTTTGGCTAGGTAAACTCGTCCAAACTTCCCTTTTCCTAGTGGGCGGCCGATTTCGAACATTCCTAAGTGAAATTCTCGAGGAGTGAGAGCTGCTGGAATGCTCTGTGAGCCGGTTGAGCTATTAGAGCGCCTAGCCTCTGAAGACTCGATAGCTTTCTTTGGAGGCGATGGGGGTGGGGGCATGTCTGAAGGGACCCATTTGTTGTTCGCATTGTTTTGGTTATGGACAGCGATCTTAAGAAGTGGGTGTCTAGCAGTTTCTTGTCGCTGGGCTGCTTGTTGTTTATCCTGTAGCGATGCGAGCGCTGCCGCTGCCGCGCCAGATGGTATGATAGCTGTCTAATGAGGTTTAGTTTGTTTCATCGGTTTTTGTTTAATCCATTTGTAGGGGTACCTTAGATTTGTGGTTAGCGCTAGGGTTCACGTTTTCCCCGTTGTCGATAGAGATCCCAGCGAGGCGAGCCTCGATTCCGCGGAGCGCCATTGTTGCTGCGCTGTCTGGACTCTGGTGATATGGTTAGTCGGGTTAGGTTCTTGAGTGATGGTGGAGAACGATAGACGTGAGGTAGGAAGGAGAAGGGGTCGAGGCGGGATGTCGAAGTTTAAGAGGCAACCACCTGGCGGCGCTTGGTTGCCACGACAACGACTTTTGTGTGTTTGTAAACGTTTCGCATCTAGCGCCAATCACACGCGATCAATATGACTTGCAGATCCGGCTGTCTAAGGAATGTTAAACTGGGCGGTAACGAGATACTATGCGTTTCAGTTCAGATAACATTAATTTTTAGATACCCAGAGATTTATAGTGTCTACAGCCGCTACTTAACATTGGTGGGGTTCAAAAGTACTCAATTCATCGCGACCACACGAATAAGATGCAGCACGCAAGTCAATAAACCGACCCGATGCGGCTCCATAAAGAGAGTACCTCCGCGAAATTCTAGGCAACAGCAGCAGTACAGGATCTCTAGAGTTATGTATGTACTAGTCTCGTACCCATCCCCTACTTAGCAGCAAGCTGCTCACCTAGAAGCATGGAAGTAGACGGTTGGGGACGAGCCTATGTATGTACATATGTGCTCTACATACATTCCATCTCTGTGTACCTACTCCAGGGTATCTTCTTATGCAGATCCCCCGATCCTATCGGCGTCGAAGCCGAGTAACTGGATTCCGGTTGTACCACAAACAAAGTTACACCAGCGAGCCAGCACGCTTCATAGGATATCACTCCGACGCATCCTGAAGTCAGCTGTTCTATTTGAGCAAATATGTCGAGCACTAATCAACCAGATCCGTTTTCAAAGGGTGGGTCGATCGATGCCAGTTAACTATCTAATGACCAGAGAATACAATACCAATGAATAAGAGGCAGTGGCTATTGGAGTAGTAGATGGTATTCCTCTGATCTTTAACAAGCCTGCGAAGGTTTCGTGTCTTTGGTCGATTCCAGCCACACTCAACTATAGCCCTATAGAGTCTAGATCGTTCGGCTACAGGGCTGAGGCTCAGCAAAAGTCAACAAAAAATATCGGACCGTTTCAAGCACCCCATCCGCTGTTTAACATTTCGTCAGACCGGACGGGTGGGTCTCGGGCCTCGAGTATCACGATACATGGCATGTCATGTCAATCCTCTCCCTAGGTGGACATTTGTGTCGAACTTCAGATGTTCAGACATCGCAAATTAAAGTTTTGGTGGAGATCCTAAACTCGATCCACTTGGAAGATATAGTTTTTCTTTTGTCGGAGTAGAAAGAGGTTGGGGGGGGGGGGGGGGGTTAGTGGGGAGAAGGGGCGCGATCGCGGCAATGGGAGACGTGGCGGTAGTGTCATCAGGAGGAGGAGGAGGGCGATTTTGGTGGGAGTTACCTCGTCGCGGTCGGCGGTAGAGAATTGGGTTGGGAGGAGCAGCCGGGCAAACAGTCTCCCCCCCCCCCCTCCAGTTTTTGGAGAGCTTGCATGCAGTAAGTAAGGATTGTCTGTCCTGACGAGCAGCGAAGCAGCAACGACAACGAGAAGACGATGAGGCTGGGAAATAGCTAACCGCTTACACGACATGCAGTAAAATGCTATGTTGAAGACAACCTCAATGGCCGAGCCTGAACCGCCATTTTTTGTTGCGAGTTAAGAGATAAAACGCCGACGACAAGGTCTTCTATTCAGGTCGGGCTCTCTGCGGGAGGAAAAAGTCGTTTGGGTTTCCCAACTCGAGGGGGAGCTTCTTGGCGGACTTGGCAAATGTCTTAGGAAGAACTTCGGTACACGCCCTGTTCAAGACGGTGCAGCATCCTCCCACACACTTGGAAGCCCCCCAGTAGTGGTAGGCCCTCCTCGAAAAAGATGGACTCCCCAGTGTCCGCCCTTCCGCGTTTTCTTACCCCCCCCCTCCCTCGTCCTCCTGCTCCACACAACCACACCCTCCACACCCTCCACCTCAACCACCACGCTCATCCTCCTCCTCCGCCTCCTCTTCGTCAGTCCTCCTCCCTCACGGCCACTAAAAGCGACAACTCCTCCTCCTCAACAGCCTGGACTACCCGCATCTCCGTGGTTTTAATCGCCGAGACGACAACAAGCCCGCGCCGTACCGCACAACGATCACAGGCACTAACGTATAAGTACTCTTCTACTTTTTTAACTTGTTAGGTACGCATCGCCTCCCACCCCCGTCCCGGTACGCTGGGTCCGTGCTTCTCTATTGCGTGAAATATTTTCCCTGACCCCTCCCTCGTCGTCCTCCTCCTCATATCAGCACTCTCCCAACCTCCCTTCACTCCACTCCTCCCCTTCCACATTCTATCTGCGCGCTATCCTCCACTCCATTCAACCCTCCCCCTCCCCCTCAAAAGTACCACAACTACCCCAAATCAACACTCTATCACCACTCATCACTCATCACTCAACCTCCCAAATATATCAAATATATCAAATATATCTTCCTTTTCTTGTTAGTTTCTTATTTCCAATTTCAGTATTGGTGAAACCTGCTCACACCTCACTCAACCGCCCAGACCCTCATCCTATCTCCCCCGGTGGTTCTCAGATATATCCGCTTGGCTTGATTATCGACCACCATGGTAAGCATACTCAACTAACTATAGATATCGCGTACCTTAATTGGTCGATATTGTAGAAATTCAAGGATATCAATTTAACATATCATATCGTTATAGGTGCTATACAAGCGTAAGCCTGTCCAATACGTGCCAAACCCCGATATTGATGACGAGTCCCAAGAAGTATGCTTAACATCTTTGCGGCGGAGATCCAAGGCTCACAGCTAACAATAAATCCAGGTTTGGCAAATCTCACAGACAGGGGAAGTCTTTGTTGATTATCAAGACTATCTTGATAGGTAGCTATGCCTCGGGTTTTGCATTAGTGGTATTCTATTAAGCTAACAATTTGTTAGACTAGATTTCTATAAGACGGTATGCTCCAAGCGTTGGAAAGCGCTGAATAACAAAAGATTCCCGTGCGCATATCTTACTAACTCTTTTGGGAAATTGAAGAAACAGTTTAGCTGTGAAATTACCGGCCATATGAATCTCAGTTTCTTTGAAGCCCTGATAAGCGAAGTACGAACCCTTAGATAGTCTTGCGCTCGAATGGATCAGGATTAACGTGAAAAACAGACTGTCAGCTCGCAAGATGTCGACCAAACATTTCCAGAGGCATTGAAAGATCCTGTACTGAGGAAGGTGCAATTTTCCGTTGTTCCGAGAATCGACTCTTTAGGTATGCAAAACAACCTAACTTGAAAAATAAAGTTTCTTAGTACTAATTTGGGTATTACCATTCTATAGTCGATCAGATGCATGACGTAAGTTGATATGCGTAATCATCTGGTCTTGGTGATCTAACGCCTATTTCTAGTCCTTCAAGAACGATTTCTACCCTGGCGAGCACGTAACAGCAATCCTATCGAACGGTGATAGAGTAGAGGCATTAGTCCGCGAAAAGACAATGTTTCCAGAGCTCCGCTATGCGAGTGGCGATATTCAAAGAAAAGGCTTTTCACGTTACACAGTGAAATTAATCAACCGAAACGATGAGGAAGCGCAGGTGGACAATGAACATCTTGTTAGGGACAAGAAGTCGTTCACTAAGGCTATGCTACGCTCATTCATCAAAAACACAGTGTCCCGGGAGCCTTGGAACGGCGCGCCATGGATAGTTAAGGACGAATTTGCAGTGAAGTATAAAATTCCTCAGGTTATCCCACCAGAACTCCGGAAAGCGTCTTCAACAGAGAGAAAAGCAGCGCATGCTCGAAGGAAGCAAGGATCAAGTCAAGGGCTTGCTACAACTGCACTAGCTAGTGTTAGCTCTTCGCCTATAACAACAACTCCGGTAGATATCAAACCAGCGCCGAAATCCCACAAAAGCAAAAGCCAACAAGCTGCTATGAAGATGACAAAGTTGGGACAGAATGGGGAGGTTGGAAGCGGATCTATTAGTGTTGCTGGATCCTCGTGGAGTGGCAGTCCAGTTGGAACTCCCGATGTTGGTGGAACTAAGATCAGTCTTAAAACTATCATCAAAGAGGAAACACCCCCGCCACCTCCGCCGCCACCTAAGGCAATCAAATATCCCATCGAAGACCTGGATCTTCCTATTCAAGAGGGTGCTCACAGGCCCACGCTACATTTCCTTTCAGCTGCAGGAATGCCTGGAAAGCTGGAACCTAATGAAACTGGGGTTAATCGTAGAATATCAAGATCATCAACACGCAATTCTTTAGTAGCCTCGGCGTCTCCGGCACCCGTGGACAACGGGATTGATGAGGAGAAAGTTGGATATTATCTCAGCACATGGGTGTTCCTTAACATTTATTGCGAGCCACTAGTACTCGACTCGTTCACCTTCGACGACTACATACAGGCATTGGAATACAGTAGCGATGAAATGGAATGCGAGTTGTTCGTCGAAATTCATTGTTCATTGTTGAAATCAATTGTAAATGAGCAGGGGGTAATACAGGCACAGCTCCCAGATTTCGACGAGGACGAAGATGAGGAAGATAACGAAGATGAGGAAGGAAGCGAGTCTGGATCAACGGGGCGAACAGCTCAGGTAAACCGAGAAGATGAAGGGGAAGGAGGCGATGAAGAAGGGAAGATGGAAGTTGAGGGAAGTGAAAGCGGCCGGAAATCAAGAGGAAAATCTGAAGAGGGCAGGAAACATCGAGCAGATGAACTTTTTGAGCACAGCGACTCATGGGTCCAGCGGCTCAAAGTAAGGGATTTCAAGAATGGCGGATGGCAGTCCATTATTGTTGGGTTGCTTTATCAACTCTCGATGGATACCAGATACTCCAAGGATTGTGAAGAAATACTGGCGCATCTCACCCCAGTAGACACAGAACCAACGGCAGAAACCGTGTCACAACAGTATCTAACTCTCAACCCGAACCTAAGGGTTATGGTACTACATTTATTGTCGAGATTGACGCACGAGACAAGGTCTGTCAGGGATTACATGGAAGAGTGCGCCGAAGAAATGACCAAACACCGCAAGGAAAAAATTGAGGAACAAAGAACCAGAAAGGCCTAGTGAGTAACACTAAATGGTATCTAATATTTACAGTACTAACTCACGTATAACACGATTAGCCTTGAGGAGTTGAAATTGCTTGAAGACGAGAGGAAGGTTCTCCTACCAGACAACAGACCTAGGTCTCCTTCGCCTGTATCTCGACAAGCCTCCACCGACGCAGATGGGGATTCCAAGATGATGGGGGCCGACGATGACGAGGATATAGAGGACGATGAGGATGACGAAGGGGATGACACTGATCGTGGTCGATCTCTTCGTCGTGGAAACGAGCGCGCCAACGCCCGGAAACGCAAGCGGGAGGAAGAAAAAGTCAAGGCAGACGCAGCAGCAAAAATGCCAAAGACTTCAAAGCAATTCCAGAAAGTTCTCAAAGCTATCGAAACTATCAAGGCGAAAATCATCAAACAAGAAGAGAAAATTACCTCCTTCGACGAGGATCTTCGACAGGCGGACTGCGCAAGGTTCAAGATGATGGGAAGGGATCGATTTTGGAACAAGTACTGGTGGTTTGAGCGGAATGGTATGCCATTTGGTGGGCTCCCTTCATCCTCGACGGCTGATTCCGGTTATGCGAATGCCATGATCTGGGTGCAAGGCCCTGATCCTAGTGAGAGAGAAGGCTTCTTGGTTGAGGAGGCGGGGACAAAGAGGGCATTGGATGGAGATGGAGATGCGCCGATGAATGGGACCACTGATGGTAACATGACTGTCCTTGAACGACAAGCTCGCGAGGAAGGATCTACGACACTCATGTCACCCACTCGCTATGGCTATATCGAAACGGTTGAAGAATTAGAACAATTGATGTCCTGGCTGGATGTCAAAGGTGTACGAGAAAAGAAACTGAAAGTCTCTCTGGAGGAGTATAGGAAGCACATTGAACAGGGGATGCGCAATCGCCTGGAATATCTTTCCTGTGCTGCTGATACTGCGGACAAAGAAAACGGCAGAGCGGCCGCTAGGGTCAAGTCAAACTGCGATCCTAATGTCTGGAGATGTCTGAGATGGAGAAACAGCACTATGATCGAGGATAGCGGTCATACCCATTTCGACCAACCTTTGCCAAGGAAAACAAAAAAGAAGGGGACGCAGGACAAGGGAGTACCGTTAAATAGGCAGGGGAAGCCGGTTAGCAGACAGGGCGATCGATACAATTTTTAAAGACGAGCACCATGTATAGAAGAAGTACATGATAGATTAATACCGGTGTAACGATATCAGCAGTTGTCCAGGCGTTCCAGTGTGCGACCTGCGGGATGTGAGGATTGACCAAAGTGATCGCAGTCCTCCTCCTCAAGTGATTTAGCGTGGAAAGGAATCAGCAGACAACCGGTTGAGCACAGAGGATGAGCAGACATTTTTCTTTTTGGTTACATTATGTCCCTGGCTTTTTTTTTTTTTCGTTTGGCGCATGGTGAAATTTGGATTTCGTTCCCTAATTGGTGTTTTGCATTGTGATTTTTCTTTTACCCTCGTGGGTTTGTTTTATTATACCTACATGTACTTTCAATAAACTTTGCCTTCTGAGCTGATGATCTGATACGTTTGTTTGATTTGTTTGGATTTAGCTTGAATTTGAACGAAAACCTGGCTATGTAGCAGAGATCTTTTTTTTGTAGTATTTTTGGGCCTCCGAAATTTCTTTAGTTGGACTCATAACTATTTCCTTTATTTCCTTTCTGGGCGCGGAAGACAAAAATAGCACGCACGCCCAAGCAGCGATCTTTCCGTATTTTACATAAGTTTTTTGATATGTGGCTTGAATTATCACTACTCATTATTAACTACATGATAGATCAACTTAGAACTAGTACCACTATTTACCTTTAGCAGAATTTAGACGTATTAGTAGGGTATCTTATATCGCACCCTGCATTCCGATCCTAGTTTGCATGAGCGGTTTTCGTCTTGTCAATTGACTAAGGAAATATTACTGCAGGTAGGAATTAATCAGTACGGGTCATCACATCAATCACTTGGAAGATGAAAATGATATTACGGAAGGTGCCGATAAGCGATAAGACCTCCGACTCCCCCGCATGAAGATCTTTCTTGGGCCTGCCGGTCACACGGGGTGGAGGAGGGTATTTATCGCGAGGGGTACCCCATCGACTGAGCTTATTTTCTCCTCCTCCTCCTTTTTCTTCGGCCGAGGGAAGCTTTTGGGTGAAAGGGAAACACTGCTCCGGGTATGCAATTGGCTTCTTTCTTGGCAATAACTGGGATTGACTGACTGGCTGACTGGCATGCCCAAATATTTGATTAGATATACAAATAATTAATATGCCTTCCTTCCACTTGACGAAGGCAAAGGCCGCTGCCCAGCGGTATCATGGTAAAATACCGTATATCAGGAAGTTACCAGTGCCCGTGGTTGGAATTATTGTGGCCGTTGTCATCGCAAATATCATTTGCTGGGCTGGTGCCGCCGTTCTTCTGGTTTGATTCCCGAGCCAATTGCTATTCTTGGATCATAACTAATATCTGGTTACATGGCGTAGCATTTCCACAGGTCTCGTTATGATATACCAAACCATAAAACTAACGCCCTATACTGACTATTATTGCGTCCTAAAGACCACTACTAGGGACCGCCATATTAGCATATACCCTAGGCCTCCGCCATGCTCTTGACGCAGACCATATCTCGGTACATCTACCCCAATCCACACCAGTCTCTAGCGCCCAATCTAATAGCATTAGGCGATCGACCTCATGACTCGTCGTTTAATCGCTGCTGGTCAACGACCTGTCTCGGTGGGGATGTTTTTCTCGCTCGGCCATTCCACGTTTGTTTCTCCATCCACTCACTCGAAAATAGCCGGTGCAACCCTAACCCTACCAAACATGTAATTCAGAATAGTAGTAATTACGTCCGTCGTTGTCGCAGCGACGGCGGCATCTTTCAGCGAGCGCTTTGATAGCTTTCGACGTGTAGGAGGAATCATCGGAACCTCGGTGTCTGCAGCGTTTTTGCTGATATTGGCGCTGATGAATGCGTGGATTTTGTACAAGCTTATAAAGGAGATGAAGAGGTTAATTTCTCGGAGTAGTGAGGACGAAGAGGTGGATATGTGGAATGTACAAGGCGCGGGGTGCTTGATGGGTGTGTTTAAGGGCGCCTTTAAGATGATTGATAGGCCGTGGAAAATGTATCCATTGGGTGTACTCTGTGAGTAGGCCTTTTGGACTTCTTCCATCTCCTCCGGTTGCGAGATACTGATATAATGTAGTTGGATTGGGGTTTGATACTTCTTCTGAGGTAAAATTCATACCTTTTGAGAAACCAACAGTAGATGGGTTTTCTGATACTAAGTATCGCAGATTGCACTTCTCGGAATAGCATCAATCCAAGCAGCTCAAGGGACCAGCATTTGGCTGATCCTGATATTCCCCGTTCTCTTCACCGGTAGGCACAGAAACACCACAGCGTAAATCTTGAAGACTAATAACTCGCAAAATGATAGCCGGAATGTGTCTCCTTGACACCACTGACGGTGCGCTCATGTCCGCTCTCTACACGTCTCCCTCATTCGCGCAAGACAACATCGCAATCCTCTACTACTCTATCGTGCTCACCATCATCACTATCATCGTCGCCGTCGTAATCGGGACAATCCAGCTTCTCTCCCTCATTCTAAATGTCGCAGAGCCTACAGGCCACTTCTGGGAGGGCGTGGAGAAGGTGGGTGATATGTATGACGTTATCGGAGGGTGTATTGCTGGATTATTTGTGGTGGTGGGGGTTGCGAGTGTGTTTGCCTATAAGCCTTGGAGGAGACGGGTTGATATGGGTATGTTGAGGGTTGGTGGTGATGAAGGGTGTGGTGATGAAGGGTGTGGGGATGATGTTGAGCAGGATGTAGGGAGGACTGTTGGAGATAACAAAGGAACGTTGAGAGAGGACGTGATAGGAGTTCCTAATGAGAGGATGGGAGAGAGGTCAGGGTGAAGACTAGTCTCGTACCCATCCCCTACTTAGCAGCAAGCTGCTCACACCAGGTTAGAAGGATGGGAGCAGGGGGGCTGGGAACGGGCCTAGGTGGAGACGTATCTTGACGTCTATCATGTTGATTACTGGAAATTTTCTCGAGAACTCTAGTTACATGGCCTGGGCAACTCGTACCGAGTGGTAGTTGAGATTCGAGTCTAGCTTTAGTTTTTAAGCTAGCTTTGTAATATCACTTGGGCGATGATAAATCTAACTATGATTTTTGGAAGTGTACATATAACCATATTATTCAGCCCAACTATCTACCTGGGTGATATCAATTCTCAGGCCCTTGGATTTGAATGAAGACCTAAATTTATGTTCTAAATCACAAACACTTTGAAGGGCCTCGCGCTGTACTTGTAGTCACAAAGAATTGTGTACCTACATATAGTACTGGGACAGAAGTTTTGGTAATATACCCTTTTTACAGCCAAAGTAGCCATGTTTAGCTACCGGAAACAACCACCCAACCTCATCAAAAAAATTCCAACTCTTCAAGGGCAGTTGGAAATTATCTCATGACGGAGTTCAGAGAATTCTAGAATTTTGAGTCCATTCTTCAGGCGTGTGCAATCTAATTTTTAAAGTCATGATTTGAGTGTTTCTGATTTTGTATGGTGTTCCCATACAAATTTTTTGTTGCAACGGCAACCAAAAGTTACCAAAAGTTACCAAAACTTCTGTACCCCGACTGTACTTACCCTTCTAGAAAATGCGATCTGCGGTGATTTTGTTAGTTTTACGCTCTTTGCTACTTATTCTTACTTTCAGTATCACACAGTGTTTGTTGTCCATATGATATGTGGCTACTATTATCTTGTTAGTATAAAATGACACCTACAACAATGCCTTATGCTCCCTACCTGTATTTATGTTCGTATCCACGACTCTACAAGCCGACGCTCTCTCTAGGGGAAAACTACAGCTTAACTCAACTCCCCCCGTGAAAACGAAGATTTCAGCTCAACATCCACTACAAGAATAAGTCTATTTGAGTTACAAGCCCTGACCTAGGCACGGGCCAGATATTACCCTAGCTTCCACAATTGGTACTAAACGAGAGAAATGCTGCCAACGAGAGTAGGGAAACCTTCACGGAAGTTCGACGAGCTCCACCCTACCCCTCGAAACTTGCAGCTAGTGTCAGGAACGTCTCAATCGAAGAAGGTGGGCTCGACACTTCATAAAGCCGCGCCCGGTCAATCCTAGCTAAAATCAAAACCCTAAGTTTATGTCCTCGCAGGCCCCAGAATTACAGCAGCTAGAGCCCAGGAATACCTCCAGGCACCATGAAGGGGCATACGGCCCACTCTCTACCATACCGCTTCCCCCAAAGCTGAGCCAGCACTAAATAAAGCGCTGCTCCCAAACCTATTCTATTCCTTTGCTCAACCAGTCCCCAATGTGTCAACAGAAGCCCACCGGCCACACGGCATATCCCGGAATTACGCCCACACATAGCAGCCCGAGAGTAAAAGGTGGTTAGGGTATATATAGGTTACACCCAATTGCAAAGTTGGTACAATACTTCTTTCTCAAAGAAATTGACACAAACCATACCCTCCCAACCTAGGGAGTATCGGCCACTGTTTGAATCCATTGACCAGTGGTTAGTAGCACACTAATCACCATCCATCACTCGCCGCAATATCGGCAGCCTCCGCCCGGCAGATCCCGGGCCGGGCCGGGCGGCCAAGCATCAGCTTCCTCTCGCTCGAGCAGGGGAATCCCCAGAATGCAGAGCAGAGAGATAACGGGTTACGAGAGAGTCCCGTGTGCGAGAGAAAAAACTTCTCCAGTCCAGCGATTCTTTGGGTTAGGGTTACGTCTCACGCGTTGCTACGAGAAAATGCAGCTAATACCACGCTAGGCAGTGGGGTACCAGAGAAAAAAAATACACTCCCCACAATAAATATAAACAAGCTCTTCCACCCCTCTCCCATTCCACCAAAACACACCAAAAAGCTCCACCACCTTTGCAGCCCCAAACAACAAAAATTAAAAAATGGATCTCAACAACGTCGGCCCCGAAGAGCTCCACCTGCTCACCACAAAACTCCGCGCCTCCCTGCGCCAATACCCCAACTTTCCCCAGCCTGGGATCCTCTTCGAAGACATTCTCCCCATCTTCGCCTCACCCTCCCTCCACGCCACGCTCCTCCGCGCCCTCGAGCTCCATGTCCAGGCCACCCACCCTCCCACCCTCACTCCCCCCTTCGCCGGCGTCGATGTCGTCGTCGGCCTCGAAGCCCGTGGCTTCCTCTTCGGCCCTTCACTCGCGCTCAAGCTCGGCGCGGCCTTCGTCCCCGTCCGAAAGAGCGGAAAGCTCCCTGGTGAGTGCGTCAAGGTGGGCTACGAGAAGGAGTACGGCACCGACTTCTTCGAGATGCAGAAGGACGCCATCAAGCCTGGCCAGCGTGTGCTGGTCGTGGACGATATCATTGCGACTGGAGGCTCGGCGAAGGCCGCGGGTGATCTGGTGAAGATGCTGGGCGGTGATTTGGTCGAGTATGTGTTTATCTTGGAGCTGGACTTTTTGAAGGGGAGGGAGAAGCTGGACGCCCCGGTTTATACGCTGTTGACGGGGCAGGAGGAGGCGTTGAAGGATGAGTAGAGATGGACCCGGAGAGGATGGGGTTCTGAGAGGATAAAAGATATCTTTCTATAGAATAGACTAATGTCAGCTGGCTTTATCTGACAATTAAAATTCCGTTATAGACTATTTTTTTTCCCTGATTTCATTGACATTTAAACCTTTCATGCTCATCGCAGTTATTATTCATTTTATCAGATTACCTCGCTTGAGAAAGAACTGCCGTGCTGGACCCCCCACAAAATAACAGCCAGCCGAACAATTCCCCCAATGTTATGAGCTAAGCCTAGTTACAGTACATGTAGTCACTCCTGTGAGTATATTTCAGAACGGCCTGATACATGGCTTTTTAACCCAATTGGAGAAATCTGTTGTAGCTTTGTATTGAATTCACGGGATCAAGAATTAACCGACAGTGCCTCAATTGTCTATGACTCGCTACATGTAGCTACCGCCGGCCATGAGCGAGTGATGACTCATGAAGCAAACTTCACTCTCACTCGGCACCATATTTTCATGAAGAAGCCGCACAAGATATATGGCCGAAAATAACCGAAAGGTTCCCCTATGCCTCGTCCCTTTTGTGTATATTTTTAAGGTTTTAATCGTCCTCTTTCTCGTCCCCGGCACTGACTTGGGCGTTTTAAGGGCGGCCCGGCCGGCCGGCCTCGGGAATGGCGCTACCACCACTCCTCACTATACGCATGCCGCTGCCGGAAAGGAAGAGAACAGAGAATGGATCTACTCTGAGGGGCGCGCTGGTACCGGCCATACACCCAGATCGACCAGTCGTGCTGTGCTGGCCACCAAGGTTCTCCGGATTTGGTATGATAGCCTCGCCGACTTATCACACTTACAGCACTTCACTGGGTACACCTACGTACGTACATACTTTTATTAAATGCGCCGTACCACCCGGCCCCAGCCTCCACACCTCCGCATCACCAAAACATATAGCACAAGCACCGGACAGGAAGCCCCCAAACCTGGGACACGAAGAGCTACTCGCCTACAAGAAAACAGCGCCAATTAGACCCATGACACGGTGAGATTCTGTTCTTCTCTTTTTCTACATCTCTACACTCTATAAAATCACCCCGTAGCACCGCCGAGTCATAAATGAATATAAATACCCGCACCACGAGTAATGACCCAGTTTGCACTCAGTATCGCCCAGGCGACGAAAAGAGCCGACTAAACCCCGCCTAGATCCAATGCAAGAGGTGGTGCTAGACAGATAGGCCTATATCAACCCATTTCCTCACGAAGCACGACTTCTTGGAAAATGTAGGCGCTAGATTGGCAGCGTGACGGCTGGATCACAGACCATCACTCGCACCAAGAAACCGCTCATTATACCCGCAGCTCTAGATAGTTACTCCCCCCGCTGATCCCTCTGCTCCTTTCAGGTCCTCGGTATCACCCAAGATCTAACAGGAACACGAACAGGGACAGTGGGATCCTAACGTAAAATAGTACCCTCCTCTTCATGTGAAGAGGAGAGGGCAGGCAACCAAAACGAGCGAACGTAAAAAAGCCCCCTCCCCTTCAGAAGAAGGAGAGGGCAAACCCACAAAACACTGTTCACTCCTGCTGGGCCCTCGGTGCCACCCAGAGCCCAGCAGGAACAGCGCCGGAGACGTAACGCAAAGTAGCCCCCTCCCCTTACGAAGAAGAGAGGGCAGCAGGAGACATAACGTAAAACAGCCCTCTCCTCTTCAAAAGAGGAGAGGGCAGGCACAAACACACGAGCGTAGGCGGGGCCAATTCCCCAACGCAAAAAAGCCCCCTCTCCTTCGGAAGAAGGGGAGAGGGCAGGAGCGCGAGGGCGAGGGCGAGGGTGAGGGCGAGGGAGAGGCGGCGGAATTACCCCCTCCCACACGGGGAGAGGGCGTACGAAACGTTGGCCCGTTCGTCCCAACGGGGACGAACGGGCCGGTCGATTTTATACATGTCCCCTCCCCTTCATCGGAAGGAGAGGGGACGGGACGCCGCACGCCACCAGGGCGTACCCCGGGGCCGACGGTAAAAAGAATCCCTCCCCACACGAGGAGGGGCGGAAGAGATGTTGGCCCGTTCGTCCCAACGGGGACGAACGGCTCGGTTGAATATGTGTCCCCTCTCCTTCATCTGAAGGAGAGGGGACAGGGATCCCCCACACCACCAGGGCGCCGGGCCGGGCCGCACCACCGCTAGGCCACCAGGGCCGCCACACAGACCACCAGGGCCACACCAAAGGCCACCAGGGCCACCAGGGCCACCAGGGCCACTACGGCCACGGCCAACCGCCAGGCCACCACACAGGCCACCAGGGCCACAACCAGGGCCACCAGGGCCACCACCACCACCAGGGCCACACCAGGGCCACCGCCAGAGCAGAAATATTTACCCCCTCCCACCTTGTGGTGGGAGGGGGGAGGGATCGACCCTCCAGCACTCCAGGTGCTGGAGGCCAAGGAGGCGATTGGAATCCCCTCCCTTCTGTAGGGAGGGGTGAGTGCTGGCAAAAGCCAGAGCACTCATCTCTGGCCGGAGAGGGGACAGAGAGATCCTTTTGTTTTTGGCCGACTGGGGCTTGGCGTGTGTTATCTGGTTTAAGTGGTAGCTTGGCGTTGGGAGGGTGTTTTTCTGGATCTAATCTTTGGTAAGGGAGGTTAGATCAACTGGAGATTGTTTTGTAGGTAGGCCTTGAGATGCGTGGGTGGTGATCGATAGCAGGTGAGTCTAACGTAGATAGCAAGGAGAAGTTTGGACCGGAAGGCAGATTAACCTTTTGCTCCAAATTTTATTTCGAGACTTGGTGACGGAAGAAAGACAAGATTTTAAGAAGTAAGACAGGTTTGACTGCTTAGGCTAGTTAGAACCACATGGACGAGCTATATCTTTCCTGTACTACAGACGCAGATGATACTGACTGTAATGACCATCTAGATCTCCTTTTGCCCATAGTTACGAGTGCAGAGACATCGGCGGTTACCATATAAGAGCACGCGCTGAAAAATTTTCTCGGTCGTAGTAGATGATGAACGGAGAACTAAAGCCACACACACACAGCGAATAGCCACGAAAAGAGACGTCACCGAGAATTTTAGCCCTGAGTTTTTGAGTGCATGCGTCTCTGTGAGACATTCTGCATCCTCGATCCTGGGGAGATGGTTTTGCATGTGCTTCTTGAAGATTTTCATAGTTCGAAATCTAGGATAACCATGTCTAAAACAGTCGATTTACCGTCTCGAGATCTAAGACATGTCTAAAACTGTTTTGAGTTAAGTCTGGCTACGATCACACATGCAAGGTGTTTGTATCTCTACTCTAGATTAGTAGGCAGAACCAAAATAGAAATTGGATTCTTCTGACATGTGGACGTAGGTAGTTGACCAGTTTCCGGCCTCTCAGGGCCTTTAATTTTCTGCAGTTACGGTGAACATGAGCGTACCTGCCAAACTCAACTCCTCTGCCTACCCATCTTCCCATAACTAGGAGTCCTCACGAGTTTCGAGGTAGTAGCTACGGAATCCGAAGCTTAGGAAGTTACCAATCCAAGGTGCTCTCCGTGAGCCGGTGGCCGCTACTATCGAGTGATTTACCATGATCTAAACGGTGCCCGACAAAACTTAATGAATCTTAGTTTGAATGGAAAAGGTCTAAAATGACACAGTTTTCGATAGACGTGCTCTGCAATAACACATGATTCGATAGACGTGCTCTGCAATAACATGATGCAAGATGACACAGTTCGCTATGATCCAAAACAGAAAGTCTACTCGACCTCACGCCGAGAGCACAAAGACATCGGGCAAAGCCAGTAATAAGTGTCGATTCCCAGCCCCACCACTATCAAAAATCAAAATAGCCTCCTAATTTATTTCGCTACAAAAATAAAATAAAAAAAGAACAAAAGATACTGTAACGACTTATTGGTGAGTGTGCGCTACTATCCCCACCCCTGGTTTGAACTCAAGGCCTTGTCCAAACACTCGGTGTCTAACCCGACGAGCAGTCTAGCCATTAACCACTAGACCACTCGCCCATAGTGGATGCCGCGCTGGAAGTGATAATGGAACTAGCTTGGCAGTGTGCCAAGATAAAGCAGAACCAACCCCTAACTCGATGTCAATGCTCAGCCATCCATAATATGTACTTATTCGTTTTGGATCATACATACGTAGCGAACTGTGTCATCTTGCATCATATAATCATGTATTATTGTAGAGTAGAGCACGTCTATCGAAAACTGTGTGTGTCATTTTAGACCTTTTCCGTAGTTTAGTTTGAAACTTGAGGAGGACTAGTCATACTCCTAAAGAACCATCTCGTAGCCGTACATGTCGATACTTTATCTGCTGCCACGAAGGAGAGTTTTGGGTACGAGACTGAGCTTCTTTGCGCTTTGCACGGCGGCCAAGGAGTGATCGGTTCTCAACGAGTATCCTTCGTGACAATAAAAATACGATTGAGAACCGAATAAGCGTTGGTCTTAGGGGCGTATAGATGGGTATGTAGGGGGTTTCTAAACTTGGATGGACGGTGGCCAGTGGTGGGATAGAGAAATGCCTAGATTATAGTATACCATGCGAAATGTCTTGTGGAGGACAATCGAGTGATAATACATGATTGAAAACTCACCTACGCAGGCGGGCGTCGCGATCTCAGCGCACGCCTTCTAAACCAATAAATTACCGTCTAAATACAGTTAAAGAGAGCTATATAACTACATAGCTAGGTACACAAACTCGGTTAACAAGTTTCCTACTATACGCCGCCTACTGTTGGGTGTTTGTGGTGATTCAGACGTTGGCTCCGATTCCAGCTCCATGTAGGCCAAGTTTCTTCGCTCCCTCTTAGTGTACCAGCCAAAATGTAGCGAGATGTGGGTGGAGAAGCCGTTATGAGAAAAGTAAGATCCAATGGTTCTATGTTATGTATATGCAGCAGGTGACCCGATAAGGGTTTCAAATAGTGCACTGTTTTGTCATTTAATCCACCATTTATCTTTAATGATCGAATATTTGAATTCGTCCAAGCCCTTCTCTTCTGTATGATGCGGGTGAAGTACTAAACACCCAGTCTCGTAGCATTGCCTTGGTATTTCCTCTCCGTGGTTTGGTTAATCGCTAGTGCCTTTTAGGGCCCGGAGGTGGGAGCACTAGTGATGAGAAAAATTCTCAGCAAATAGTTTTTTGATCCCCTCATTTATTCCCCTCATTTATTCCCCTCTTTCCTTTCCCTCCTGAGGGAGAATATACCACCATGTCTTGCATAACCACATATCCTATCATCCATATCTAGTCTTTTAATGTAAACCACACCCAGTAAAAGATCAACTTTGGGGAGGGGTCATATTGTATATTGTTTTGTAGTTAGTAGGATCAAGCCCACCCAGCCAGAAATTCTCAGTGGTCCACTACCGGTGCGCATTCACTGGTCAGGAGCAGCTAGCTACTAGTTCTTCTGGAGCATGGGGCCTGCTTTTCAGCCGGAAAGTGGGGTCCGTGGATATTCAGGTAAAAGTCGCAATATAGAAGCTCGTGATCAAGTTATATGCCGAGGCAGAAGCAGAGAGCGAATGATGCTGGTCAGTACTAGTGTATTTCTCACTGGCCCTATCGTCAGCTTAGGAGTGCTGTATCATATCTAGAAGTGCTTTTTGCTTCGGCCAGTGTAGTTGTTCCTTTGGATATGTGCGCACCTCTTCTTAATTAATCGCCCAGGCAGAGCCTTGGCCCTTCTGCGAGTTACTTTATGGTGGGGCGCGCGCATAGCTGGGTGCTGTTAGAGGATCACTGTATCTTTGAACGAAGAGGGTGCATAAGTGAAGCGTCGTAGATCAGAGTGGTGGGGTCGACGGATGTGGAGGCGGGGGTGCCGGTGGAGGTGGTAGAGAATTAGGTACGTGGTGCCCATGCCGATGTCAGGCGCCGCGTGCCTTCCGGCTCCCCAGCCATCCACAAGACAGCCTACACATCCACGACAAATATGAGTTATACCAGAACTCCGGCTGATTCATCACTCATTATCACCAGAATTTAGACCGAGAACTCCCTTCCCCCGCACGAATCGCCACGGTGATCTCCCGCGAGTGATATCCTGTGATTGAGAATACTGCAGAAATTTAAAACCTTTAGCGGCGTTTGTTAATCATGTAGGGGTCGACGTCGAATTAAGCTCCGAGAATAAGGCTCATAGCACTATAGCTAGCGTGGGCCCCGTGGACCACACCCACGGAAGGGCACCTACATACATGTACATGTAAATACACCTCCCTCTGATCGTTCTCCCTGCCTCCACCATCTCAGATTCCGGATCTTTCATCGTATCCCCCGCACAACTCCGCCCCGGATCATTTCGTTGTCTTTCTCTAAATCCGTCTTCAGACAACGCTCGAGCCCTGAAGTGAACCATCATCCATGATCCATCACAAGAGCGGGTAGAGATCCATACAACATGACCTAGATAATAACTAGACACCTTATTTCTAGTAAGCTGGACAGGCCTCGAAAGTTCCTACAATTGTGACAATACCATCCAACTGAAGATTAGTGCCAAGCAGACTCTATGAATTACCAAGTCAGTGAAGTATCGAATCAGATCCCATGAAGTAACGTTGAATTACTAATGATGCCGACAAATTCTATGGTTATTTCACGAAGACTACGTACTGGATACACAAGACTCGATGCCAATATAGGATCGCATGATTCATAGAATTTTCAGCCAGTACTGAACTAAACTTATATCGGAAACTTTATACAATTCTACAGACGACCCCTTTGTCTCCGACATTCGTGGCACAATGACTCGTGGCACAATGACGGCACTCCCAGCTAAGAACAACAATCCACTGATTTTTGGGTTTTCGCTGGGTAAACCTCATTTTTTCTATATGTAGTTAGTATTCAAGATCAGGCTCTAATTATCTCGAGCTATATATATCCTTGAATGTTACTCGGGATTTGATATTGCATTAACTACATGTGGTTTCTATCTAAGAGCCTAACCCTATGGCGATATGTTAAGTTTGAACAGGAACTGTATTTGTAGATTCCAAGAAATAGTGCATTGTCTCGTCGTCTCTATATCTCCAATCGTAATGATGATGTATGATTGGGTAGCCGCAAAAGTCTACGTACATGTTTAGGAATGCTGTCGAAACCTTTCATTAAAATCCCTATTAGAAAAATCGGGCGTGCTAACTACATAGTAACAAACTCGGGCCATGCCGCCAGAACGGAAACAAATTTCCCCTGCGTGTTTAGGGGGAGTTTACCGAGAAATTGCACATCTGTATCGGTGACGTATGTGGCTTACCTACAAAGCTAGAGCATGTAAATTTTCAGCGCTAGGGTTTCTATTTGGCCCTGCGTACCTACATGTACAAATATGTACAATTACGTGCTTCCGGTCTGGATGGGTTTAAGGGCATTTATACTCACATCATACCCTGCGAGATATTACGCGAGACGAGTGATTGATTGTGATGGCAACTACAGGATTGTAAATCGGGTATCCCTATTATCTTCCTTCTTATAGACACAAAGAGAAAAGTGAAAAAGAGAAAACTACCCAGCCAGAACCTGTTCCTGAGACCCACCGAAAAAAGAAAAAATCTCCTATATAAGTACCCAGACTAATGGGTAAATCGAGAACAAAGGAAAAACGAAAAGAATATTACACAAATACCCACTTTACCGTGATGTGATACCGAGAGAGAGATAAATGAAAAGATGAAAAAATTATGAAAGCAAGGGACAGTCGATCTCCTTGCAATCCATCCAAAGAAATGAACAACCCAAACCTACCCGGTACCCATGAAGAAAAGAAAGAAAAATGAGAACCAAACACCCCCCGTCACTTTCTTACTGAAAGCTGGGCTCGTTCTGCCCGCCAGGCCGCCCGTTCAGAGTCCACGATGGCATCGTATTCTTTCAGCTGGGCTTCCTTGTTGAGCAAATCCCTCTTTAAGTTCTGGACTTCTGCCTTCAGCCCTTTTTGTTTCTTGATTGCTTGGATTCTTCTTTCTAGGTGGCCTAATAGTTCATCGACCATTTCATCGCCAGATTCCTTGTCTCCCTCTTCCGAAAGACCCAGCGGAGCAATATTTTTACCACCCAGTTCTGGTGTTGATGAGACCTTTTCTTTCAACAGCTCGGGTTGTTGGTTTGTCAGCCTATGTGCTTCTCGCTCCAACATTTGCGCCATTTCTTCTGTATAAAGAACAGTGTAAATATCTTCCTGCAGCTTGCGGTTGTTACGTGAGGACTCGATCAACCGAACTGTTCGACGAAGCCATGGCCAGAATAGGGCGTGGTTATCACCACTCTCTTCATCACCATCTTCCTCTTCCATTGCAACCACGACATTGCCCGATATTCTTCTTGGCTGGTCGCTGTAAACGACAACCGGCATTCTGTCATGCGGATCCATACTGCCGACAGCTGTTTGTGTAGCCGGTGTCTCCGTTCCCGATGATGCTGCGATGCCCTGCATCTCATGGTGATGGACCGGATGTAGCTGCATCGGTGCAATCCCGGGAACAACGACCGGCGGCAGTTGTAGTGCAACCTCAACAACACCCTTTCCCCTCGGTTCCCCACGACTTCTCAAGACGGCCTCAGTGTCAGTTCCTCCTGTCCCTCCTCCTGTCCCTCCCCCCCCTCCTCCTCCAGCCGATGAGGAACCGTTCTGTCGGACATGCCGTTCTGACCCTGCAATCTCCAGAACTTTGAACACTGGTTCCTCGTCGTCGTTGAGCTCGTCATCCGTTCCCCCGTCCTGGTTGAGGCTATGCTCTCCCGAGTCGCTTCTTCCTCCTCCTCTTACTCCTACTGCTCCTATGTCGCCCGAGTCCAGGTCCATCCCGGAGCCCAGCGAGTCGCGACTCAAGCTCTGGCGCTCCCGGTCGCGCGCTCTCTTGCGGGCCTGCCGTAGACGGGCCATTTCTCGCTTGCGCTGGAGACGCTCCTGGTCGGTGAACATGGCTGGTCTTCCGCGCTGCCGTTTATCTGCGCTCATTTACTAGTTATGATTTTCGCCTTCTCTTTATTTTTTGAAGACTTCCTCCCCACGAACGAACAAGGCGTGTGTTTCTTTTCTTTCTTTCTTTCTTTCTTTCTCTTTTCTTTCTTATAAAGATTTTAAAATATAAAGATAAAATAAGAAATCCCGAGGAGAGTGCGCGGTGCAAAAAGAGGAGAAGAGCGGGTGCTTTCCTGAGAGTAAGGTTTTGAAGATGTTAGTAATAGCACTCACTCAATCACTCTACATTGCATAGAGTGTATCAAAAGTGCCATGCAACGAAGGAGAAGTTGAGGTGTGAAAAGAGAGAAAGAAGAGGAGGAGGAGGAGATTACCGACCCCAGTGGTATAATCCGCCCAGCCACAAGGTCTCGCAGGTATCGCGAAGTCACCCGGCGGGCAGCGCGCGCAGCAGCTGGATGTGGCGGTCTTGAGCACGGTTAACCCAGCAGACAGAGCTTGTTATTTTATTTATATTTTTTATATTTTTCGCTCTTCCACTCTTTTATTTTTTCGCATATGGGAAGAAGACGAAGGATGCGTAGGATAGGAAAGAACGAAGAAGAAGAAAAAAAACGAGAGGGGGCGGCGAGCAAAAGTAGGTAGGGCCGAACACTGGTAATGAGAGAAAGAGAGCGACGGGTTTCTGTTCCTATAAACAGACCACAAGAGTCACGTTCGCCAAGGGTGTTCGCATCAAAGTGACGGACGGAAATCCTTGCGCGCAGAGGTGGGTTTGAGAAAGAGGTAGAAAATGCGGGTGCTTTTTTTAAACACTCACACGCTGCTAGCTAGTACTTGCTGCTGCTGCACGCAAGGGGAGGGAAGGCGGAGGGTGAGGGGGGGGGGTACGTTGGGGAAGGAAAAGCCTAAGGGAGGAAGGGTATGAAACGTGCACTGGAAACAAAACGACCCGCTTTGGGCGTGACAGATAAATTGTGATCGAAGAAGGGTTGATGATGCTGATTGCTCACCTTTTTTTTTTTTTTTTTTTTTTTATTCCCTCGCAAGCAAGCACGCACGGAGGTCTGCAAGGGAAGTGAGAGAGATCAAGAGAGAGACGAGTGGGGCTGAGCATGCGTGAACGTGACACCATTTTATTCTAGATCTAGAGAGGACACACAACACCTCCTTTTTTTCGTTCTTGCAGAGTTTCTGGAAAAAAAGGGCGTGACTCATTGCATTTGTTTTGTGGGGGGGGGGGGGGGGGGGCAAAGGAATTGCCAATGTTACACCAGCTAGCAAAAACATGAGCTGCTGCTAGAACAGTAAAGCTGCTGCTGGTAGTACGTGACTGGGTTCTTAGGTAACCTCCAGTTAGGGACCCCACTTGCCCACTTTATAATTTACTTGGAACTGCCAGGTTATATAGACATACCAACCGGGTACGCTAGGTACCTACTTCGGTATGATCATTTTTCTCTTCTAGCTCTACTGAGCTCTCACTCACCTCTACTCACCTTAAACAAGTAGATAGCCACATGCATCATAACTCACCCACCTCCGCCCCCAAGAAAAATAAAAGAAACACCGTGAGATGATATTTATTTTTTCCTACATTTTCTGACAGCTGCAAAACCTCGGATATGGCGACGTACCTACATACATCCTGTAACCAGAGTCTAGCTACATAACACGAGGGCGTGGCGTCATGTGTGTTCCAGTACGTTGCAGTCCTGGAATCCCGGGGTTAAGGTTTACTTGGCGGGGATAGATGTAATTGTATGTATTTCTGTATGTAGTCGGCCGAACTTCAGTCTCTATCTAGGAGGGAGTTGAGTGAATTCAATAGGTTCAATCCTGGAAGGGCACTAGCTGGTCTGGGTAGATACGAGTACAGTACTCATGTTCCATGTGGGTGTGTGGTTCAGATGGATTGATAGACGGAGGGGGCCATGTGTGCTACAGTACTCTAGGTACCTAACTTGACTTACTGGTTCAGGCCAATGGGTGCTACCTGTGTACTTACTCACACCGTATCGTTCGGCGCGGTATGAGCCAGACCCTCGCCCAAGATCCTCGCCTATTCACTCATTCACTCGCAGCTTCCGAGTAGAGTACAGTAGTCGATACTGACTGTTCTGATACCTAAGTACTCATCCAGGAGTAACTACTTTACTCCTGTAGGTCTGTGTACCTGACATATAGCTGCATAAGTAAGCTGGCTGTCACGCTTTATATGACATTTCATACCCACTCATCCACTCGCTCCCTGGACTTTGTTTCCATTCTTCTACCCCGTTCACCTGCATGAGTACCTACATATACATTCCTTCGTCCCGTCACAGTCATGTCACACTACATACTCGAGGCGAGCGAGGGTTTCGGATTAAAACCCCGTGCCGTCGGGAGCATAGACTGTGCTACATCCGCCCGGATAAGATGGCGGTCCGGGGTAGACGGTGGCTGAGGGTGATTGATTAGTAGAGTAGCGGTGGTGGATTGGTATTTAGCTATTGGGGGCAGTGGTTTTTCCGGATGACCAGGGGTGAAGGGAGTGCTTTGAAGGGACGTAGGTATCTAGACTTCATCGATCAAGCCCCAGAATCCATCAACTGAACCCATCAACTAGGACTGTATCACCGGTGTTGGTGAGACGCGCTCGACTTAATCCTAGATACAGATATGAATATTAGAGAGCACATGACACAACAACGTGGTGAGCAGAGAACTCTAAACAATCGAGTAACTCTTATCCCGGGAAACGTTAAGGCAGCCTTGTTGTCAGTGAGTACATGTAGTCCAGATAATTGCTGGTCTGGAGAGACGCTTTTTGACGCAAAAGGGGGGAGGGACGCAGGGAGGGAGGGAGGGACGGGATCTGGAGGTTTAATTTATTAACGCATGTAGGACGCGCACAAGATCAGCACAGGCAGGCAGTCCCGCCGGCTTGGGCGTCCGGATCATCCATACACCTGGCAGTGTATCCGCGACTGCGCGCGGTGGACTGCGCGCGTGTGGGAATACCTGTAGTTACTGGGCGGCAGTTGGTGGACCTCGGACCGGAGGCCTCTGCATAACAACCCCCCGCCCGCATCTCCGGTGCATGTGCGTATGTATAGGTGGATCATTCCCCTGCCCATATTGAGAACCCTCTGAACCTTTGGATCTGTATCGCCGTGGGGATATAGCTACCTAGCTACATGTAGCTACCTACTCCCTCAATATGCTCATCCACCCATATAATACCCATCAATACTCACATTCCACCTTCTAGTTCTGCTTGCCGACCCGGGCCCGAATATTTTTAATTTTCATTTCGTTTCGTCCCCTCCGGTTCCACTTCAGCCCATGAAAGCGAGCCATAGCTGCAATAGCTAGCTCGAATGGCCGGCACTGAGCTAATTAGGAGGCGGGCAGGTCCAACCACCTACGCATAGCGGGAGACAGCCACCATGGTGGGGCTGATAGAGAGGGACTCATTCTCCTACGGATCCTCCTGTCATCCCCACTAACACTCCGCGCTCCCCTCATGTTTCAGCAAAACCACTAGCCTGGCAGGATTTCCAATCATACGCTATCACTCGGGGAGGATCCCTGTGCCTGTTACTCATCGAGTGGATCGCCAGCCGTTTCTTCCTCCTGCAATTTGGCGCTCCTCATGCAGTCCCCCAGATAGAAGCCGGGGTCTCTGTAGTTGACAGGTCTACTGGCTATTGCAATGCAGTCAACAATGTGAGTATGGAACGATTGCGGTGATCGACTAGACGGGATATATTCTTATCACTACGTCACCAAGATGCACCATACCCCGCCCCCGCGCTGCGCGGCCCATACGCCAGAAAGTGGGGGAATCGGCTTGTAATGGTTCACTCCATAAGTTATGACATTTACCCCTCGATATATAAGCCGCGGCGTAGTAGCCCGCCCGACCCACGATGCACGCACAAAGGTGGTATGGGTCTCTCACCGGTTGTAATTGGCTGTCCATGTTAGAATTTGTTGTAAAGGTGGGACAAGATCGTTAAGTGATTCGATTCTTGATTGGCGCAGAGTCAAGCTATCTATATAGCTACGGTTCAGACAGATGTCTACTTACCGTAACAGGTGTCGACATAATATATTCAAGAGACCACCTATTCAGGCCAGGTTCGACATCATTTGAAAAGCCAAATAAATAACAGAGTTCAGGACGCGCAACCGAGTGAGAGCCCATGATGCAAATTTGGGTTTATGGACAGATGCTCTGGCCCGTCGATGCTGTCTACCCTACAGGCGAGGGTCGTAATTTTGGTCAAAGATAGATTAGTTAATAAGAAAGATAAAGAGATCTAGATCTGTGTGTAAAAAGGCCACTCGCGCTCTTGGCACCAGCTTTAGGTGGGCAGCATTTTTCGACGACGAAGGCCTAGGGATGGCGTTGATCTGGTGTTTCTCTAGGTATACGTACGTAGCTACATACACGGTGGGTGCTGAGTATTTACAAATACCAACCAATCTCAAGCTCGGGTGGGGATATGGGTATCTCTATTGACACCGTCTATCCCTTCCTCTGAATTTTCAAGCACTGTGGCGTGGAGTAGTTGGGCAGATTTTCTTGCAAATCCACCTAGCTAACCCTGATCGAAAGCTAGTCACGCTCGTCACCCCTCCATCAACAGATCTTTTCTACTTTGGAGCAGATTCTTACTCTTTTAGCAGCGTTACAGCCCCAATAACAGCTAGCCTGGTGAATATCTCCACACTAAAAATGAGTGGAGGCGGGAGTGACTAAGTCTGTGTTTAGGTTTATGTCTTAAAGATGTGTGTGAATCAGTACGCTGCACTTCATCTAGTTCTTAGTGGCTGAAGAAATCTTCCACTACAGTGCCCGGTGGCAAATACAAGGCCCTCTCGTCCACCGCAGGGAACGACTAACCATATCATTTGGCGGAGACACCCCCGTCGCCACTAATATATATCAAAGACAACCAGCCTGCCGCCGGATCCTCCCGCCCATTGCGTGCAGGGCCGGAGCTAGG